GGTAAAATTTTCCTGCCGAAGCTGGTCGTAACCCGAAACGTTCGTTAGTAGAGGCGTTCGTATCCCGAGGTACCACTGTACCCACAAAAGGGCCACATCACCCTGGACACAGAGGTGCTCCTGCTCTCTGAAGATGCCGGTCACAGGTGCTGGCGAAACGTTAGGAAATCCAGAACACGGCCACACAGCCCGGAAGACCCACACCAGCCATCGATAATTTTATTCCTTTTTTTTTTTTTTTTTTTAGAAATTTCAGAGCTATTTGCATGAAACTTCCAAGGTTGCTTTTTAGGTATTGATCAAGGGTACAATCTCCTGGCTGTATCAGATTTATTCCATCACTGACTGAAAAAACTAACATGTGGCATGTTGTTACAAATAGAATCACAGAGATGAAGGGGCCATTTAGGCCACAGAGTCCAGCCCCTTGCTCAATACAGGAATCCAAATTAAAGCCTCCTTAACACTTGGCTATTTAACTTCTGCTGGAATACTTCCAGCACTTCTGTAAGTAATAGGTTCCTATCAAACTGCTCTTCCTGCTGGGAGATTTTTTCTTCATCTGTCAATCATCTGGGACCTCTCTTCTTAGAACGTATGTATGCCTATGTATATAAGGGCTTGACTGGCATAGCTTCCTGTGCCCAAGATACACAAAAATCTGTATATTCAGATAAAGGGCTCCTGACCATACTTAAAATGCATATGTATATTTTTGAGTGAATACAATAAAATCTAGCAGTCTTACCTTCACCTGAAGAGCCTGAAAGATCTATGATGACGTACACTCTTCCTTCTGGCTCCAAATCAATCTGCAGTAGAAGGAAGCAAATATTTATTATTAGAATTCCACTGTGTTCTTTTCATGGGGTGTGTTATTTTCCTCAGAATTCTTACAGCATCCTTAACGCACTCATGGCAGTCATTGGCTTAAAGGAACTGGAAAAAAAAATTAGATGCCAATGAATCATTATAATCCAACCGGATTAAGTAAAAAGAATTAGTGTAAGTATTTGGTTACATTTCTGGATTTGGATCTCATAAGACCACTTACTTATTAGAAAACAAGTAAGGATAGTATTTCAATTACTTCAGCTTATAGCTATACCTGTTCCAAAAGCTTAGAGGAGATAATACAAATTAAAATTCAAATTTTAATAATGCAAACCACAATATGTTAAAATAATGAAAACATTAGATGCCAAAATCTTCATAACTTTGCCTCTTTCAAACTGGTTCTCAGAAATCTACCCAGACATTTTTATAAATGCAAATGGGCCCAACTTTTTATATTAGGACTGTTTAAAAAGGACATTTGTTTGTAGGACTCATGCAAGTATTGTCAAATTTTTACAAATAAGATATTTACTGAGCTTGTCTCTTGTGGGCTCTGCAAATGTCTGCTTTTCTGCAAGTGCTAAATCTTTTTATCTAGGTTCAGGGATAGGCAAATTCTACCAGATACTATACCAGAAGGGTAAAGATATGCAAGTACACATTACTATACTGCTTTATGCCTGTAGTTGTCATATGTCAAGATGAAAAAAAACACGAATTAAAAGTATCTTAGAAATTCCATAGACAAGGAGCAGCTAAGGACATCATATCTTTAAATGATCTTTAGCTACTTTGTGTTGGCACACAGATGGTAGTTTCAAAATGGTATTCTTCATTGACCTTGGAGATTTTGATGGGACATGGGGGAGGAGATGATTTCTTTCATAGGATATGATTATTTTTCAGGCATTTAACACAAGGCATGTGCTTATTTGGCATCAATACATTGTTCCTGCAATGTGCAGCCAACGCCTCAATAATAATTTTTCTTACCATTACTACTGTACTTTTATATCAGGAATGGACAGTTTTCAGGCTAGTGTGATCAACTAGCTCTAAGATCCACCAACCACAACCAAATGGAAAACAGAGGCACAAAAGCTAAAATGAAGGAATAAATAGTTTATAATAGTCATGGATCAGCATAAGCAAATTCCAAATAGAAATACACTACCCAAATGCAAACAGGTTCATAAAAATCAGTAAAAGTAGAAATAAACACAATACATGAATACAGATTCCCCAACAATCTTATGGACAGTTCTGCTCTCCTTTGTTACCTGAGCTATAACAAAGTCCTTAGCCATAATTTAGCCTTCAAGTTGCTTAGCTTCTGTTTTTGTCAGTCCTTTCTAAACTGCTACTGAAGCATTGGCTTTGCATGTTCCTTCAGCCAGGAAAGGAAGGTGTTTTACCAGCTGCTGGCTTGCTGAGTTCTATGCCCATTACTTCTTCACCAACAGTCACCTGCTAAGATGCACCTTATTCTGACAGTTGCTCTACATTCTTGGTTGCAAATTCTTCCTCCCTGCCCTCAACCCCCAGGTGCTAGCAGCTGTTTTCATTTCTAATTGGAAACCAGGTGTGGTCCAGTGTGCCTCAGGTTACCTTAAAGGGCCAGGGTGAAAAACAAAGGGAAGGAATTTCTCCTGTTGGCCACAGCAAGGCTTTCCTTCCACTGGGCCAAAATGCCCCCTTGTCTAACAGCTCTTTCAACTGGAATTTCTGTGGTGTACTGACCGTGCTCATTATACCGCAGTGCCATGAGAATTCTCATGGAGTTTATGAATAAGCAAAAATAGCCTTCTGTCTATTGAAGAGTTATTTAATTTCCCCCATAATCCAGGTCTGGAAATTAGATCAAAGGTACATTTAAGATTGATAAAAGCTGTATAAAGTACTGAACAAGTTCTAGCAGGGTATTTCTCAACTAAATGTTGAAGAGTTAGAGTGTGATAAAGAAGAGAGCAACCTTCTCTGAAGCCCATTTCTCTTTAGCCAGGATGTTCTCAGTTATAATCCAGTCCAAAACTTTGTCATAAAGGTATCTGGCATAATATTTATGGACCTTATTAAGAAGACTGATAGGATGGTAATTTGTGGATAAGTCTCTAGTTCCTTTTTTATAAATAGGGATCACCATGACTAGACCCCGGTCATAGGGAATCTTAGCTCTGGTGTCTATAAAAATGAATAGGGAGGACAAAATTGGAACCCACCAGTCTAAGTTATTGTGAAGAACCTCCACAGTGATAAAATCACAGCCTAGAGCTTTTTAACTGCTTTATTAAAATGGCAATTTCTGGGCCTGACACAGGAGACCATGAGGGAAGTAAGCATTCTTCATAGTCTAGTTCTATATTCAAGTAAGGTAACTCCTCCTGTATGTACAGCAACCTAAAATGGTGATGTACAGAGCATAGGGAATGGCCTTGAAGGACACTGGGAAGATCCATTATCGAGGCAATGATCAGACAAGTGCAGCTTCAGTCTGTTCCAAGAAACTAGTTTGAGAAAACACATCAGACAGGTCCCTGCCTAATTCACATGAAGATAAAGTGAGGGAGGAGGGAAACACATTCAGAATTGAAAGATTCTGTTTCTATAGCTGTTCTAATAAAATTAATTTTAGACCTATAAGGCATTGGTTTCTTAGTCTGATCCAACCTATAGGGCTGACAGGTTTTCTCAAGCGGAGAAAGGGATGAGAAATGGACGGTGAAGGGTGAAAGGCACTGACTGAAGAGTTATAAATTACCAGAAAAGACCTAAATATCAAGAGGCATGCATCAGTTGGTTCCATGTCTCTCTTAGGGCCTGCCTTTTTAGTCTGTTAAAACTGTTTATACTGTCTTTTAACAAATAGCACATCTTATAGTGAATGAGTAGGGGGTTATTTTTATATTCTAAAAAGTGAGCATTCATCTGTTTCTTGAACACATGACATTCATTGCTAAATCGAGGTTGGTCAAGGAAGGACCAGTTCTTAACAGCTATATAAGCAGAGCTAGTGAAAATAGATAGAATTGGCCAAAGGAGCTGTATCAGCTGGCTGTAGAATGGCAAGAGACAATAAGTCCCTTCTTCCGGAAAATCTAATTGTAGTTGGAATGTGTCTTCAGTGGAAAGAATTTCAGTTAATGTGTAGATCACCTGGGCCATCCATTTCAGGCAAGTTGGGCCCTGAGAATGTCTTCAGATGGGATGGAACACAGTTCTAAAGAAAGACCACCAAAAGATTTCAAAACCAACATGTCAGGAAAGCAATCACTCTCAGGGCAATTGTCAGTATAAAGTCTAAGCAGAGGGAATATAGGTGTAATGGAAGGCATAGATGAGGAGGAGACTGGTATGAGAGATCAAGGCTATCAGGAGAGAGGGAGTGCATCCCAGAGGAAGAGGCAAGGCAAGCACTTTCTCAGCCCACAGCAGGACCGTGAGATGAAGAAGAGGCTGAGGCTAGCCCCTCCCTAGACTCTCATGGGGTATATATGCTAGTAGCTTTAGGATAGGTTTAGTCTGGCAAGATTCTGTCTATAGTGTATAAGCAAATAAAGGAACTTCACTGTACTGTACTGCTTCATTGTTGTTCTTGGGCTGAACCTGACAATAGGCTTCTAGAAATTGCAGTATAATTGATAAAGGAGGGTTTTATCCTAGCCCAATGTGAACATTCTGCCAGTGGGACATCATGCTGTTTAAGATCTGGTCTACAACATATGCAGACCCCTAAAGTCTCCAATGTTGTCCTGGATTCCCTGACTAGCATAGGGTGATCAGCCTCTACGATGGATTGCAAAGGATGGAATTTGAAATATAGCAGATTGTCATTCAAGCCTAAACTGGCACTGAAATCCCCCACTATGAGCAGATGGGAAGTGCAGCTGAAGATTATTAATGTAGATTTCTGCTTTTGACCAGATTTCTACGATTCAATGGTGAGGGTTGTTAGGCAGCATATAAACCTTCATAAGAAGCAAATTCTCATGGGAGAAGTTTTGGATGACTATTTGTACAAAACTCTCAAACGGATCTAGTGGAATGATCATGGTGTAGAGACTAACTGACATATGGACACTCAAGATTGCATGAAATCTCACTTATTCTGTTCCAGGGACTGCGAAAAGAGAGAAGGATTTATAACTCTCAATATGCAAATCACTAGCTGTCCAGTGAAACAAAAGCAGCAAAGTATATCAAACTAGGTAATATAACTCATGAAGGCAGGGTCCCTTGTTCAGACCTCCCATCCAGCAGCATTCCAGGAGAGCAGTCACAATAATTCAGGTAATGTTGCAAGTCAACTGGACTTTCAAGGATAGAAAAAAGAGGGCCCGATATGGGCTGGGGAAACATTGGAACCATCTAAGATTATGCCATCAGTAATAGTATCCAGCATTCTTGAAGAGCAATTAGATTCTTCTGCATCTTCACTCTATAGTCATCTGTTCATATAGCCAGAGACACATAGCTCAGTAAAGAAAAAAAAATGTGTGGATAGAAAGCTTGAATCATCCCTGGGGCAGTAAAGGAGGAGCAAAGATTTATTCCCTGCTGAGGACTGGGAAATGAATGCTTTACATTAGGAAGGTTGGCTGAATCATTATGTAAATGAGATGACTGGATATAATTAGGTACATGCCAAGTCAATCTCCAACATTTAAACAGAGCACAATGCTGACAGATCTGGTTCTGGCAGAGAGCTCAGGAAGGCCTCGGTGGAGGGTTTGCCTGCACCACCTACAAACTAGGAATGAAGTGAATTGCAGTTTTTAGACATTAGAAGGAAAAAGCTCTCTGTCTGAAGCCAGAATTTAGTGCCTGCTACTGTACGTTCTTGAGCCATACACAGAGATGAGTTGCATAGACAAAGCTATATCCAAATTACTTTGGATTTTGCTATTGCCATTGTTAAATAATTAGGCTCCCAAAACCTTTGAGCAATCATCTGCAAACCATCCAGTGAACTTACACC